CCCCCCCCCGGTAAATGCAACCTTCCCACTAATGACACTGCAGCTGAGGTGGCTTTAAAAAGCCATGTCTATAAGCACATTAATCTCCATGAATAATAACTGGCTAAGGACATGTTAGTAACAGCGCAGTGTAAGTAATGCCCTGTCATCCAAGAGGTTCAAAGGGCTTCATCAACACTAATTAGGCCCCAAACCCTTGTGAAGTGGTGACTGGTGCAATTTTATGAGAATTTAAAGTCAAGCAAAGAAGTTGCCTCGGGCCCAGGGGTTACAGTTTGAACACACACCTATTAGCCGCCCTCCAGTGTCTGGCAAAGGGCAATTCTGAGCGGAGGCAACAACCAGCAGGACTCCTGGCATTGAGTTCCTCCTCCAAGTCTCAGAGCTTGAAAACTGTAAAGTGGGGGTGTCTAGGTCTGCTGGCTGGAGGGAGGTGAAGGGCGGTGCCTGGGCAGCCTCCACCCCTGGACACCAGTGGGAACTTTCTCAGTCTACACTGCTCCTCTTTTTGGCTGAGGAATACTCTAGGCGTTTTCATGGGAGTTATTTAAAGTGTTAAGTGTTCCTAAGTAGACACAGGGATCTGACCCTGGAATCAGTGACTCTGTCCCTTAAGAAAAGATGAGTGAAACAATGGTGGTCCCACTGCCGGCAGGTCTCATGGCAGCCTCAGGTCACCGTCTTCACCTGCGGTATCTTTGGTTCCTGAGTCCTGCAGCCACAATACCAGATGGAGAGGATTCTTCTGAGCAACACCCAGTTGGATATCAATTGAGGTGGAAGGGAGGGGTGGAGGGGAGGAGGGCCGCCCTCATTTTGAAGGCAAATACCTGGGTGGGTGGGGGGAATCTCAGTAACCTAAGGCCCAAGACTCAGCCAAAGTGACAGAGTGAGCAAGTGGCAGGACCAGACCTGAATGCAGGTCTCTTAACACTTTGGTTAGCAATATGTTATAGGAGAGGAGGTAGTGAGGCCTGCCAACTATCAGGGCCCTCATATTTAGGATATATCTAGTCCAAACCGGGATATTTTAAGGATAGGGGGCTTTGCTAATACACATAAACATGAGGCACAAACCAGGACTTTTGGTTACTGTACTCATAGTGCAGTGTCTGAATGGGGAGTGTTATTGGTGAGGGAAGTGGGGTGAGGGCAAAGCTATGGGCAGGCAGCTGGATTTCAGACTCAGCTGTTTCTAACCATGGCATCAATAGGCCCAAATATCAAGTGGGATGGGGAACCAAAAGCCACTTCTCTCTTTGCTTCAGCTTCCTTGTGTGGGCTTTGAACTTTGGAAAACAGCGGACCTGGGCTGGGGTCCCACCTCTGCCACTGACTGCTGTGTGACTTCAGGGGAACTGCCTTAACTCTCAGAGCCTCAGCTTCCCCTCTGAAAAATGGAGCTGACTGTAGACCCTCATAAGATTGTCATGTTATGTGAAATAAGGCACATGTTGAAACAGTACATGACATATAATAAACACAAAAACAATTCTAGCTGTTACTATTATTTTTACAATTTTCATTTTTATTGTTATCATTATGATTAGCAACAGTTCTAAGGAACCTACTGGCTCTGATATTCTCTGATCCAAGAATTGATCTTTTACCAGCTACAGCTCTGAAAGTAAACTGTTCCCAGAAAAGCAGCCAAAGGTCACAGAGGCAGGAAACTTTGCTTGGATATTGGTATCCAAGTGAAACCTCAGCTCCAATCTCCTGTTCCCAGGTCTGCTTTACATTTGCCGACAACAGCCTTTATTCAGATCCCATGATGACAAGACCAGCAATCACTTGTTATTTAAACTGAATTCCCACAATCCCTTGGACTTAAACTGCTAACAGTTGAGTATAAGCATTCTGGCTTGCTCTGAGGGTTACTCACATTCAAATACAAGAGATACAGCAGTCCGGCTCACCAGGCTCTACTACACCTGCAACCTGGTTTCAGGCCAGCGCCTGTCGCTTGCCTTCTCCAGCAGGTGAGGCGTTGCCATTTCAACACTTAATAACCAGTGCCAGGGACAGAAGGGGCGTCCCAGAGTGCAAACATAATGCAGGCAGCAGGGAGTGGTGCATAAAACCAAGGGCCTTGACAGCGCACAGACTCCATTCGAACCCCAGCTTTCCTATACCTACTGACCGTGTGGCCTTGGGCAAGTTAACCTCTCTGTACCAATTTCCTCATATGTAAAATGGGATTGTAATAGTAGCTGCCTTATGGGGGTTTTATGAAGATTAGCACAGTCCCTGTCATAGTAAACACTCAACAAATGTTAGCTGCTGTGATGATGACTACGGTATTCGTGAATTGGCTGTGGAAGTGCAGATCAAGGACCAACTGTTTCTTGCCAGGAAGACTGACAAAGGCTTCATGGAAAAGGTGATACCTGAGTTGCAGCTGGGAGGATGGGTAGGATTTCCAAAGGAAGAAATGGGATGGGGCAGGTACCTTCAATTCCCTTTATAAATACAGGTCATCCTCA